ATATCTTGGATGCCCTGGGGGTAAGCAGATAAACATCAAATTTTCATTTTTGGGTGAACTATCCCTTTAAATGTGAAATTAAAACCGCCAGTAGGTGGCAGCAAGTTTACTGTTAAGTGAGTCATTGCGATTGAACCAAATCATTTAAATGGTTGATTCATTCAGTTACGAAACAACGTCATGTTGCTCAGAGACGCAAAACAGTACTGTGGCTGTGTTTGGAATGTTTTTTGTTGGAGAAATAGCGCAAAAACAGCCAATATGGTGTCTAAAACGTAAGTCTCTTGATATTAACTTATTGTTTATTAAACTGTTGTATAAAATAAATATCACGTTTGTAACCATGCTGATTTTTTAAGAAAAAACGGCACTCTTCGTGTGATATTGATTAACTATATGAATTGATATAAATATATACATTTTCTGCCTCCTTATCTTGAATTATGTAATCATTCTTAATGCATATTAATAGACTGAATCATACAGTGAAAGAACCACTCTAAATGTGCACGCGCACTAAATCCTGTGTTGGTCTAACCAGACTTCATCACGTCACGTCGCGTATGCACGCCTAGGTGTGTTTTGTTTAGCTTTTGCAATATACTCGATAATGTCATGATGTCTCACGAGTTCAGTATTTGTGCTAAAGTTGGTCTAACCAGACTTCATCACGTCGCGTATGCGTGCCTCTGTAGGTGTGTTTTGTTTAGCTTTTGCAATATACTCGATAATGTCATGATGTCTCATGAGTTCAGTATTTGCGCTAAACCTGCGCAGATTTGGCCTGCATGAACTTCTTCAAGAAATTAATGAGTGAACATAATTTACGAAAAGTAACCTGCCAAATTGGCTAGTGATTTGACAGCGTTACCCGCCACAGCTGATTTTTACCCGCATTTGGCGGGTTGGCGGGTGTTAATTTCAAACCCTGGTGCTAATGTTGTTAGCACTACTCTGACGATTTTATCAGTAACATCAGCTTAAAAACTACAAGACTTCTCACAAGCGAGGTAACAACATCGCTGTTCGTGAAGAAAATTAACTTAAAGTTTCACTATTACTAGAGACATTGCTGCGGAACACTTTTGAGAGACGCACAGACTCACAGAGGTAATCTCTCTCTCTCTTATTTAGTTATTAACTGCATTAGTCTGCTATCAACAGCTCAATCCTCCGTTACTAGGTCTAAAATGACGTTTTGGAATTAGCAACGGAGGCGTTGGATGAGATGCGGAAGAAATTAATCCTACTCACAATAGTGTTTTAAGTACAAAAACTGGACAAATACCTTGAAATATATCATCTGATCGATGTCTTGAGGTGTGGTAACCATAGTATAAGCGGAATAATTGACTTCGGTCCGTTGAATTCTTAGAAAATAATGCACACCCGAGGTGGAGATGCAGCCACGACACGAAGCAGAGTCAATTAAACCCCTCGTCAATTATTCCTTACTTATATTGTTATATTATACTTATATTATACTTATATCATGACACTTTAAGGTAATAATATGCACCTTTTAGGAGTAAATAAGGTGTAACTTTTGAAAAGGTACCGCCCCAGTGACAGCTTTTGTACCTTGAGTGTGATAATGTATTCAAATTTTGTTCAATGTGTTATTTTAATGTGTTTCAATGTGTTTAAAGTGTTATTACACTAATCGGACGCACAGGAAAATTAAAGGGGGTTATATTACGAGTAATCAAACTTTCTCTGATCTTTTTAGATAAATGAGTTTATGATACTATGAAAAATAAGAATGTATGAACCCAAAAATTCACCCCCGGAGATATTTATTAAAATTTAAGATGCACTAAAAAACTTATTCAGGGTTGGTTGTTGGCTGGTTAGCATGGGTCAGTAAAAAGCCCAAAAAACTGCATGCTTAATTCTAAGAGAACGTGAAAAATAGTCATAAGATATATTATTACTGTTAAGAGCAAAATACTTAATTCTAATTTCTAACATTATGTGGACCTTGGGGAAAAACAGTAATAATGAAAAATAATGGATATCCTTGTTTTAAAATTACATATTAGACCCTTTATCTGCTTTTTTGGCTTTTTGTCCATATTTTCAACTTGGAACGACATACACAAATTTCTATTCCTCTCATGGAAACCAGTCACTTTAGCGGAACAGTTTTGGAAAATTGCCAGGTTCTCTTGGTGAAATGTCAGCTGGCTTCGAGACTGACCACACATCTGTCAACACAAAAGTGAAAGCGTAGGAGCCCGGAGGAGATTCCTCAGTGGAATTCCTTTAAAGTCCGCCATGCCTCTCATCAGAGAGATTTTAACTACATTACTTCCTCTAGCCATGTGTGCCGATGGCAACTACTTTTGTCGGCAATGCGCTAATACACAGATTAGAGATATCACTGGATATTGCAAACAAGAGAGGGGAGATATGCTTAGAGTAACCGAACGCTAACTTCCTGTTAAAATCACAGTATTAACACACTAAACACCCCCTCGGGTCTGCTTAAGACAGAGGTCTTTGGAAATTTTAATAATTTTTCCAGTTTTTATCAGCATTGGGATTACGTATCTGGCTCGGCTTTGCCAACCTTTTGATTAAAGATACTAGTATTTATTTACGTCACAGAGGAAGTCATTAGCGCAAATACGTGGCATGAATTCTTCAAGTATGAGAACCTCTCATGTAAACATGGCATTTTGAGGGGAAAAGAGAATTGTTAATGATTATGCAAATAGATAATCACATTGCAGGATTTATGAAGCAGAAACTGGCTGTGGCACAAACCTGCACAAGGTTCCACCCCTCCAACGATTCGGCGATGATCGAAGTCACTGACGGACACACTCCTCCAAAGATCATCAAATGTTTCGGACCGTAGCAGATTGCATCAAAAAAGGCCCGCAATCCCTTTGCGTTGTCACACTGAAAAGAGAAAAAGGGAGTAGAATTAAGTCAGAAAAGTCTATAAATATACATAGAATGGTAATGTCAATCATAATGACATCAGCAGGTGTACTTGCTCTCAATTCATCCACTTAGAAACCTTGAGAGCTTTTTCTTGATTTGTACAACCAAAAACCCAGTGCATATTTCTTTCATAATATGGTGTAAAGGAAGGGGGAAATGGGAAAAAAACATGGACCTCGAATTTCTGAATGTAAAAACATGTCTGATGTACAGGAGAGCCCAACTGCTGCGGCACTATGCGCCCATTTCATATCACTATGGCAACGCTCTTGGCTCTGTAGAAAGTGCTGAAGAAAGGAAAAGATGTAGCAGGGATATTGATTGTGATGTGAGACTCTAACTGTTTTATCTTTGATTTTCTGATGTTGGTAATGATATTTCAGTCCCTGCTAAACACTTCCGAAGGTCAATTAACAGCAGTCGGCTTGACCTGACTCAATCCTGGTCGTAACCAGAAATGTCTCAACACTGCACACAGTGACCCGGTCAAGAATTTCCTCTTGCCTTTTGACCTCGCTTGCTAAAGTGCCTTCTTGGCTTATTTTAACCAAAGAACACATTTAGTTTTGAGATTTAATATAGCAATATCAATATAGCAACAAAAAAAAAAACATTTCAGTTAGGGGCATCATTATCATCTATAAAATGGAAAATTATAGTATATGTTAGGGATGTAACGATATCAAAATCTCACGATACAATGATATCGCGATATGAAGTCCATGATACAATATTTATTGCAATATTTAAAAAAAAAATGCAAGTGAAAAATTGGGAAAAAAAATAAAATTTTTTACATTTTAAAGTTAAATTATTCTATCTAATGCATTTTGAGTCAAAATTAAGAACTCCAACCCATGTTCTTAACTAAGAAAACTTAAGTCAAGTCAGTGAATTGACTTGTACCTCAAATTTAAAAGGGACACAACCCTCTTTTTATTTGTGATATACTGTCTCAGTCTAAATTACATTCACACTGGTGTTTTAGGAAGCCAAACAAATTAGAATATATTAATAATAACAACAACAACAATGACAGTAATAGCCATATATTGTAAAACAATTGCACTGTAAAATAAATTAAAATGAATATATTTCATATGTATATTATTTTTGCTTTACACTACAGTAGGGAAATACTTCTTTCCTAATTTTTTACACTTGAAAGAGATATTTTGAATTTGGACTGCATTTAAACCGCTAGCTGTCAGAAATTTATGCTGCACTTTTAAGCTTTTATTTTGAAGGAAAACTCCAGCTTCAATGAAAACATGCTTACAAAAACGCATCTCACTACAAATCTAGTGAAATGCAGTAATCATCTGCCACGAAAACAAAACCTAACTGGTGGCTGTTGCGTTCCCAAACGTGCGCTAAACTCACAGCATGTGAAATAAACGAGTTCACTGCATTCACTGTGAACTGAGCCGTTCTGAAGCACGGAAAACACTGGATCACGAGCTGATCGCATCAACAATGTGTGCACTTTGCTTTGAAATGCACAGCACAAACAGACTTGGGTGAAGGGATTAAGCCATTATTGTGCTTTCGGTTTTAGTTCTTTTGACAGATACTGTGCCAAAGCATAATGGCCAAAAACACAACTATAAAGACCTTTTATGTTAGAATAAGAAGTTTAAATATATTTTAAAAACTACACTCTTTGCCCGGAAGACTTATCTAATGACCATGATAATATCGAGGCAGTTTTGCTATCGCGATATCACGATATTAATAATATTGGTACATCCCTAATATATGTATATAATTATATATTTATAATTACTATATAAAAATTATATATATATATATATATATATATATATATATAAAGATGAGAATACATAATTAGACCTGTTTATGCTTATATAAGTACATAAAGTATAAATATATATACACATTGACATATTATTGACATATTATCTTACTATGCACAGTTACTTTTAATAAACTAAGCAAAATATTATCTGACAGCTGGAAATAAACAGCTTTGATATGATGATGATTTGATGATAACAACATTTTTGTTCCAACAGAAAATAACTCAAAGATTTGCAACTCAATTAGACTGGCCAAATTTAGAGACTTTAGACAAACACTTTTTTCTTTTTTACCTAAAATAGTTATGCAACTTAATCATCAAAGCCCAAGGTTGTGCTCCAAATTTGCTGTTCAAAAATCGTAGGTGTCACGTGACCAATCGGGTTGAACGAGCAAGACGCTTCTGTTTCCAGTATGCCTTTGAGCATTTATGTGAAGGCTATTTTTGGCCCACAACCAATGATGATACAACAGACGTTCTTACACAAGCAGTACATCTCTATTTCTGACACTCCATCATACTTGGTAGTGCTCACTAGCCAGTGAGCTTCAGCGTCAGAAATAGAAGTGTTAAAAAAAGACTGTGGTGTATGAAGGGCAGGAATATGAGATGAGGCACTGCAGGGCGAGTCGATTGAAGTGATGCTGTTCATAATGCTGAATAAAACAGCAGGCTTTTAAAAGATCTCATTGCATATTTCCTCCATATTCACTTCATTCTGGTCATCAGTAACCACCAAAACAGCCTTTTCTTCTTGTTTAACAAAAAATTGTCTGTTCTCCAACAAGATGCTAGTTAAATCCCGACATTACAGCAAGTTTCGAAATGAACGTTTTCGGGAGTGAAATATGCTGTAATAAGTGACGGACGGATAAGCGCCTCGACCAATTAAGAACTACTGTGAAAATGAATCACTGCGACAACATTTAACTAGACACATCATCATCAACAGTCAATTTAAGCTTTACTTCAACCTACTGACCAAGACTGTTGTCTTCAACCGTACCCATGATCATTCAGCCAGTAATGAAGCTCTAGCTACAAATACCATTCCTGAACATTCACGTTGAACGAAATGTGAGGTAATTGACCATGAAATTGTGGTGCTCATGTGACTGAAACACATTCTGCACTGAAATCAAGGCACCTTTGAATACCAGCAATCACAACGTGGTCGTTTGCCTTATAAGGCGCACATCCATGATCTGCAGAGCAGGCTTTGGCCATGTTGTCATGGGAACGCACTCCTCACTTTGAACGCTAAATGAAGGAGGAAGCAAGGCCAGCATTGATAGATATAGCACGGATTGGCTGCTACAATCATGATGTTATTAATCAGTATTCAGAGGTGACATTTGAGGGCTTAATTTTGGATTTCACAGAGCTGGTGCCAGACTGAGAAACTTGATGACAACAGGCCACCACCACAACATCATCGCAAACTATTTTAATGGACATATCTCTTCACTAAACTTGTTAAAGACAAGACACACACATTGATCTTAAAATATTAAACTAAAACATTTTTAACAACATAATGACATTGGATTTATAGTCACTGATGTATGTAAGGAATATTCTGGGTTTCAACAGCATAATATAACGGCATACCTGCAATGTTGACCATCACATAAAAAAATCATTTAGCAGATTTCAGCAGTCAATTACACTGGATAAATAACACAGATTAAGAGTTATTTTAGTATTGTTTACTATAAGTATTTTTAGTAACACTTTAGCATAGAGACCAATTCTCACTATTAGCTAGTTGCTTATTAGCATGCATATTACTAGCATATTGGCTGTTTATTAGTGCTTAAAAAGCACATATTCTGCATGATCATATCTACATCCCTAATCCTACCCGATACCTCAATTTAACAACTACCTTACTAACTATTAATAAGCAGCAAATTAGTTGTTTATTGAGGCAAAAGCCATAGTTAATGGGTTGTTAATAGCGAGAATTGGACCTTCAAATAAAGTGTGACCATATTTTTAAATATTTTGAATTAGCTTTTATTTTTTATGTTTTCAGTTATCATTTTATTCCAAGTTTTAGTCTTGTTACTTTTGATATGTGCTTTTGTCATTTTTATTAGTTTTTAGGTAACACTTTAGTTTACAGACCAACTCTCACTATTACAGTACTATTACCTACTTTATGAGCATACATATTAGCATATTGTCTGTTTATTAGTACTTATAAAGCACATATTAATGCCTTATATCGCATGACCATATTTGAGATCTCTTAATCCTATCATATACCTTAACTTAACAACTACCTTACTAACTATTAATAAACAGCAAATTAGGATTTTACTGAGGCAAAAGTTTATTGAGTAGTTAATAGTTGGTTAATAGTGAGAATTGGTCCTCAAACTAAAGTGTGACCACTTTTATATTATTATATTATATTATATTATATTATATTATATTATA